TGACAGATGTATTTTTAGACAAAATATAAAACCAAATAGTAGTGAGCGTCAAGCGATCTATAGTATTTATAGATCATATTTAGGTATTATACAAATATACAATCGTCGATGTTCTAATGAATATTTTCATGTTATAATCTGGTATTTTAACCAAATAATTATTATTGTACACAACGGGGCACGGGGGCGAAATAATACTTTTGCCCCCGTTAAATCAATGTACGGGGGCGATCGCCCGCTTTGCCCCCGCGGAGTCGGCGCCTATGGTGACATGGCTGTGTTTGGCATTGCTGATTCAAATGCAAACGATGAGGTGATGAAATTTCAACTTGGACGTTACGTGAGTTGTAATGAGGCAATTTGGCGGCTGTTTTCATTTACAATTCATGAACGTCACCCGACTGTCGTACATTTGGCAGTTCACTTAGAGAACGGCCAGCGTGTATACTTTACGGAAGCGAACGCAGCGCAAAGAGCAGAACGACCACCAGCGACGACATTGACAAATTTTTTTTCGACAAGCGAAAGTGATCCGTTCGCGAGGACTTTACTATATTCGGAAATGCCACGATATTATACATGGAATGCTACATCAAAGAAGTTTCAACGCAGGAAGAAAGGTGATGCTGTTGCTGGCTTCGCAGATGTCTATTCGACTGATTCCCTCGGACGAATATACACAGTTCATCCATGCCAAGACGAATGCTGGTGAACGTTAGGGGCCGGACATCCTTCAATTCCCTGCGTACTGTCGATGGTGTACTGTGCACAACTTTTCGGGAAGCTTGCCAATGCTTGAATTTGCTCGAAAACGATTCACATTGGGACTTAACACTCGCCGATGCAACCGTTTCTGCGCCAGGAAATCAAATTCGTACGTTGTTTGCGATCATCATAGCCACATGTCATCCATCAAACCCGAATGCATTGTGGGAGAAATACAAGGACGAGATGGTTGATGACATTTTGCACAGAGTTCGAACGACAAATTTTAATTTTGATATTGAAAGTAACGACGAGATGCGCAACGAAGCATTAGTTCTGATCGAAGACATGTGCGTGCTCATGTGCGGCAGTCTGTTGTCAACTTTGGGAATGCCAGCGCCAAATCGTTCGAGGCACACTGCATTCAATCTTGAATTTCAGCGAGAGAAAAACTATGATCTAGATGAGCAGGCTGAAAGAATCCGAAAAAATGTGCCGTTGTTGAATGCCGAGCAGAAGAATGTATACGATTCGCTGATGAAGGTTGTTAATGATGGAACGGGAGGCATTTACTTTCTCGATGATCCTGGAGGGACAGGCAAAACGTTATTTCGTTGATTCTGGCAACAATTCGGTCAAGATCACAAATTGCATTGGCTGTCGCATCCTCTGGCATTGCTGCCACATTGTTGGAAGGCGGTCGAACTGCACATTCAGCTTTGAAGCTGCCAATGAATCTTCTTATGGTTGACAAGCCTACGTGCACAACGACCAAGAATTCAGCGACAGCGAAAT